GGGGAAAAAGCCGGTAAAAAAGGGAAATCTGTATTTGCTGCGTAAAGAGACTCAATAAATGCATATTTTCAGGCATATGTTCATATATTTAGAACTCCCACCCTTAGGGGAAAAAGCCGGTAAAAAAGGGAAATCTGTATTTGCTGCGTAAAGAGACTCAATAAATGCATATTTTCAGGCAATTCAAACTACCTCAATGAATAAATAAAACAAATAAATAAACAAGTAAAAATTTATAGTTGATCATGGCTGACGATATAATGCCCTACACCAGTGCACAGTGGGGCAGAATCGAAGTTTTTTGGAAATAAATCTGGCATTTCTAAACGGCTGATCCGATCGGGATAAAATTTTGCGTGAGCGTTGCCAATGAGTACTCGAGTTTAAGTTTTGAAGATGAACCCTGCAGATGCCCCAGGGACGGCGCTGTGGCGGCTCAAAGTAGAGTACCTACGACATGTAAAATTTTCACCCAAATACAAAGATTTTTATATTTTCTGAAAGCGCTCGACGAGATCTTGAAAAAACATGCTTGGACATACTACTTATCTCTTATAATATCCGAGTTATAGGCATTTAAAAATTTAGTGATACAAAATTTACCATACCTTGGTCCGCCTTTTTTTGAATACCGGGCGTAATTTTGGACCAAATGGACTCAATTTTTTCTTGTTAGTTAGACAACAAAATTTCCAATAATATACAAAAAATTTCAGATCAATATCATTTACAGATCCAAAAATATACGTTTTTGAATTTATAAATTCAAAAAATTTTAGATTTTTGCCGTTTTTTTTGCCAAAAATGTGTCTTAACTCTTTTATTAATAAAATAAAATTTTCTTTAAGAACATATAACAATTTTATAGTTTTCTAAAAGGTATCTTTACGCAGAACGCTTTGGCGTAAAAAACTTGTCCCATTTTTTGAAAATGTTGCCACTGCGCGCAGTGGTATAGGAAAAAAAAAGAGGGAAATAATTCGGTAACTTCTAAACGGTTAATCTGATTTTAATGAAATTTGGAATGCGCAAAGAGGAGGTGTTGTCGAGTTTAGGTTTTGAATTTGGACCTTATAGGCCAACCAGGGGCCCGGCGGGGGTCCTCAAATTAGGACACCTCGGCTATGTTAAATTTTTAAAACGATCCTATTTCTTCATTTGAGTTCCGATTTAAAAAAAATTTCGTATATAGAATCTCCTCATCGAGCACTATAAAAAATTGTCGCAGTAAATTATCTCTTATAGTTTAGGAGATATTCGCATTTGAAAATTAAAATTTTAAAATTTTTACCGTCCTTACTTTAGTTTTTTGATAATAGCGGGTCCAAATATTCCCGATTTTCGCCATTTTTTTTTATTCGCTTAACAACAAGTTTATATATCAAACAGTGAAAGAATTATGTAAAAATCATGACTGAGTCCAAAGTTATAGGCATTTTAATTTAAAAAATTAAAAAAAGGCGATTTTTTGTCATTTTTTTGTTTTTATTCGCTTAACAACAAGTTTATATATCAAACAGTGAAAGAATTATGTAAAAATCATGACTGAGTTCAAAGTTATAGGCATTTTAATTTAAAAAATTAAAAAAAGGCGATTTTTTGTCATTTTTTTGGGAAAAAAGTATCTTTTTCTTTTTAAGTTATCTAAAAAGTTTCTAAGAAGATGTATATAGAATTTATACTTTTTGGAAAGCTGACTTTACATAAAATACGATAAATGAAACAAAACCTAAAAATTTTTGATACCGAGGGGACCAGGTCCATCCAAAAAAACCCTATTTTTTATGGAAAATTAAATTTTGAGAAAAAATTCTCAAATCGCATAGTCGATATCAAATTATAGGTACCTGTTTTATATGACCCAATATGTTCTTAATCATTTTGTAACGGGTTTCGATAACCCTGCCCCTGGTATGGATATAATAGGCAAAAAACCAAAAATCCCATATTTGGGATTTTTTAAAACTTTTTTGAGAATTCCGGGATTTCTAATAAGAAAATTCGAAATTTTTATTTAATTTTGGATTTTGAGTAAAAAAATCTACCTAACTGTAAAATTTCATCAAAAAATATTTATAAATTTGAAAAAATTGTATCTTCGCAAAAACTGAATAAAAAACATTTTTAATTTTTAAAAAAAAAGTATTCCGCGAATTTTTTAATTTTCAAAAATTATATACAGTTTTGAAAAATAGACAAAATTACCTAAACTCGACAACACCTCCTCTTTGTGCATACCAAATTTCATTAAAATCGGATTAACCGTTTAGAAGTTACCGAATTATTTCCCTCTTTTTTTTCCTATACCACTGTGCTGCGTCCTTCCGAATATGACCTATTTTTTATCAAAACTTCAACTTTGGGCGACATGTTCTAAAATCCCAAAGATGGGATCTGAAAACTGAAAGCAGTTTTGGAAACCTCAATATGTTTTCTATTTACTCCAAAAGTATTTTCCCAGCCCTGAAAGAAATGTGGACCCTATGGGCAAAAAAGTAAAAAATCCCGTTTTTGGGATTTTCATTCCTATTTTTGGGAATTGCGGGATGCCCTTTGACCTTTTCAATTTTTTTTTTTTTGAATGACAAATTTAACAAGCGTAGAAAATTTCATTGAGTTTTGTTCATAAATAAAGATTTTGTCATATATTACATATTTGTTTAATTTCTAAAACTATGATTTATATCAAAATTTTAATAGGGTCGCAGATAGCTACAACAATTTAGTCCATATTTATCCCTTAATATCTTTTTTTAGTTAGATATGGAAATTCTCGATTCTTTACAAAAATTTTCAGGCCAATATCTCAATTACATTCAAAAATATGTTCATTTAAACCTGTATCCTTTAATTTCATATTTTTCATATTTTAGTATTAAATATGACAGAACATATTTAAATCTTATATTTACCTATTTTCTATTTGTTTGTTTATCCTTATAATTGAAAGGTCCTATTATGCTTAATTTTTCAGAAATTTATAACTATTTTTTACCTAAATTTTTCGACAGATCATTTCGTTCTGTTTCGTTTATGATCATGTAGGTAAAAATATTCAGGTAATGATAATTTGGATTCATTCACTAATAAGAAATATCAATGACTGAATTACAGGTTATAGTAATATAGTCCTAAATGTTAATAGGTAGACAATTCGTAATTTTTTACTTTTGAATACCTGTATCGGAAATGACAAGAATTGGTATATAAACTTCTCAGATTTTAAGTACCATATTTAATAAATCTACAATGAAGATTACATTAAAGTACGAAGAGTTGTGTTCCGTTATATGGAGTGTATCTTCAAAAGGGCCAGAAAGAATTGAGGAAGAGGAAGCAATAGCGCTTATGTTGGAACTGGGTCTCAGTCGAAATAAGTACCAAATATTAAGGAAAGCTCTGCATGAAAAAGGACACAATATATTACCATCATACAAGGCGATCCAGGAAAAAAAAACAAACTATCCTACCATCACCTATTGCTGTTAATGATGTGGAAGCTTGTATTGATATATCATCTTTGCTAGAAAACACAGCATCAAGAATTGTGTCAGACTTTTCAGAAGACCAACTAAGGAAAGTTCATAACTATGATGTTGTCTTAATGTGTAAGTGGGGATGTGACGGTTTATCAGCACTTCCAGAATACAAACAAGCTTGTGGAAGTCGGACATTAGCAGACTACAAAAGTGTATTTATGTCATCATAAGTGCCATTCCGAATTCGTTCATATTCCCTTAATCCATCATCGTCAAGCATCGGAAATTCATTTGAAGATATATGGATCAATACAACTCCGGGTTCAAAAAATTTTTGTAGACCCATTGGATTTGAATATATAAAGGAGTCAAAGAAAACAATAAAAGATTTAGTGGAATATTTAAAAGATGAAATAAATGCACTGGAGCCCATTTGCATAAAAATAAAGGAATTCTCTATTAATTCATATCAGCTAAGCTTAACAATGATTGATGGAAAGGTCAGCAATGCCATAACAGAAACTTCATCCTTCTGGAGATGCTCAATATGTAATGAGAAAAAGTCGCAATTCTCAAATATAAACAAAAGCAGAAGTATTAATGAAGAAGTCCTGTCTTTCGAAATTTCACCACTTCATGCCAGAATGAAATTACTTCAAAAATAACTGGAATCGACAAGGAGTTGCTTCGAAGAGTTAACACTATTTTAATGGTACTGAATAGTAAACATAAAATTAATGGAAATCGATTTGGGGAATACACATCTGAAATTTCTAAATTACTTGTATCTGATACGTTGTTTTCTTCTTTATTACTGATAAGTTCTTTTCTTCTTTATTACGTTTTTACAACTGAATCCAAATCATGTTCTTACATGCTAAAAATATTTCTTACAAAGAGAACCGTTAACTTAAATTATTCTTCATAACATATGTATGTACATAGGGGAAAGGTACCTTATATGCATACTTATATACTACACTTTTCCCCCCTAAAAAAATTTTTTAAACATATAAACATTGCCGATAATAAAATCTCTCATTAAATATCTAAGAAATTTAATAAGTAAACACAATGTATTCCTATATACTTATAAACCTAATATACAGTTCATATATTTAGGATAAATATATTAAATATTTTAATAGGATAAATGCACTGATAAATTTACTATTATACTTAAAGCCTTTTATAAACAATTTATAATGTGGTCAAATATTATAATGAATTTAATATAGGTATATATATGTATGTTTATATAATTTTATAAATAATTTAGCCAGGAACATACCAATCAGGTTTTCTAACTGACCTTTTTGGTCGATTTTCAAAATCTTCATCACTATCTGAAAGATTGTTCCGACTTCTTTTATTTACTTCAGTAGTATTATACGTTGGGGAATTTTCGTTTACAATTGATTCACCTGTACTAGGTTTTCTGATTACTTCATATCGTGGGTGATAATATTTTTTTATTTGATTTAAATGCACTTGTTTAATATTATTATTTACACAAATTACATAACGCTGAGGACTTAAAACATCAATAACAACGGCCTTAAGCCATTTTACAAAATTATTAAAAACATTTCTATAAAGGACAATATCACCCTTTTTAAAGCTATGATATGTTTGCTTTCCTGTTTTAACAATCTCAGATTTAGATTTATCGTTATCACTGGTTATTTGCTGTAATTTAGGATTTAAAATGTCACATTTAGTTTTTGGTAAGAAATTAAATAACTTTTGGGAGGGCGATTTTTTTGAGATGGCGTCTGGCGTATGACGATAATAAAATAAAAAACGCGTAATTTTGTCTGAAAATGAAAGATGATTCGAATAAGTATCAATCCAAAATTTCTTAAGTGATTTTTTGACAGTTTGGACAGCCCTTTCAGCTATACCGTTTGATTCTGGGTGATAGGATGGACTTTTAAGAACCTTAATATCAAGTTTATCGCAAAATTCTATAAATTTAAAACAACCAAAAGGTGGACCATTGTCAGTACAGATGCTTGTAGGTAGACCAAAATACGAAAACGTCCTTTCTAACATATCTATTACTTCTTCGGACGTAGTCCTATTCATTTCCTTTAACTCCAACCACTTTGAAAATACATCTACTAACAGTAAAACCTTTTTTCCTTGAAAATCAAAAAAATCCAGATGTACTCTTTCAAATGGCCTTGATACAATCTCCCATGATATTAACCGTTTAGGTTTCTCATTCTGGGTTACTTGACATACTTGACACTCTCTGACAAAATTTTCTATATCTCTATCCATTCCTTTCCACCACACATATGTTCTCGCTTGTGTCTTCATTCTTACTATCCCCACATGTGTTTCATGTAACAATGTTAATATTAAACCAGTTATTCTATGTGGAATAATAAGACGAAATCCATAATATAGACACCCATTTTCTACAGATAATGACTCCTTTCGCTTAAAAAAATATTTTAACTCTGCTGACAAATTGTTATCCTTTCTAGGCCAACCATTTGCGACATAATCTACTACTGCACTTAATACAGAGTCTTTTTCCAATGCCCTAGCAATATCCTGTTCTCTAATCGGATCTTCCTTAGTAAAATATTTAATAGCTATATCTCCCTCCTCAGAATCTTCCTTAGCCGCTTCTACAGGTAACCGGGACAAGCCGTCTGCGTTACAATTTTCCTTTCCCGGGCGATACCTGATTTCGCAGTCATACATTGAAATAATGACCTGCCACCGTTGTATTCTAGCTGCCGCTACTGCAGAATAACATTTTCTGGGGTTAAATAAATGCTTCAATGGTTTGTGATCTGTATAAATTACGAACCTATTTCCGTACAAATATTTATGAAATTTTTCCAATGAGAAAATAATTGCTAAACCCTCCCTATGAATCTGTGAGTAGTTTTTCTCTGCCGATGACAAAGTCCTGGACGCAAAATAAACAGGCCTTTCTCTGCCCTCTACTAAATTTGCCAGAACAGCTCCTACACCGTATGGGCTGGCATCACAAGAAACTATAATTGGTTTATCGGGATCAAATAAATTCAATACAGATTCATCCGTTAATAAACGTTTACTATTTTCAAAACATTCCAATCTACGTTTCGTCCAACAAAAATGTTCTTCCTTTTTTATTAGCTCATACAACGGGGCTAATTTAGTAGAAATTTGAGGTATAAAGTTACCATAATAATTCAATAAACCTAAGTACGATTGTAAACTTCTTATATCTTGAGGAACGGGAGCTTCTATAATCGCTTTAATCTTTTCCGGGTTTGGACGAATACCCTCGCTTCCAATTCTATATCCTAAAAATTCTACTTGACTAAAAAAAACTTACATTTTTCCTCCTTTACTCTCACATTGTAACTTTGGAATCTACTCAACACATTCAGTAACCGTTTCTCACATTCTCCCCGCGTATTTCCATAAATCAAACAATCATCTAAATAACAAACAACACCCTCACAACCCATTAAAATTTGATCCATTATATTCTGAAAAATAGATGGACTAGATGCTAATCCAAATGGAAGTCTTTTAAACTGAAATAGTCCTTTGTGTGTATTTATTGTCAAATACTTCCTTGAGTTTTCACTCACCGCTACTTGTTGGTATGCACCCGCCAAATCTAATACACAGAAATATTTCGAACCGGCCAAACAACTTAAACAATCATTAATAGTTGGTAAAGGGTAATGTTCCTTTTCCAAGACTCTGTTCAACGTAACTTTAAAATCTACACAAATCCTTATGGAATCCTTTTTTGGGACTACCACTATTGGACTTGCCCAATCACTATACTTTATGGGTTCTATTATTCCACTGTCACATAAACGTGCCAACTCTTCTTCAACTAACTTACGCATTCTATATGGTACCGCATAGGATGAACGATAAATAGGATCTGTTTCACTCTTTATAACTACAGATGCTTTAAATTTTCTAATGGGTTCTGCTGAACTTTCTGCAAATACTACGGGAAACAGGTTCTTTAGTTTCTCCAAATTTTTTATAGGCTTGATTAAGTTAATTTTGTCGATAAAGTTCTCTTGCCAACCTTTTTTTAAAACATCCAACCAATTGCGACCCAATAATGAATCAAATGGCTTCTCTGTTCTAATTATAAATAAGTCCAACAAAAAATCGCTTACTTTTACTTTAATCACCCCGCATAAAGATATTTTTTGACCGCTAACATTTACTAATGTATTTTCCACATTTGTAAGTTTTTTGGAGCCAAAATATTTTTTATAAACTTCTTCAGACGCCACTGATACTGCCGCTCCCGTATCAATTTCAAATTTTAATTTTACATTTTCGACTAAAAGATAAACAAAAATTGAATTATTTTCAATACCTACGCTATTCAAATTTGATAATACATTATTAACTCTTTTTGTTTTACACATATTTGCTAAGTGTCCTTTTAGTCCACATCGATAGCAATTCCAATCACGAACTCTACACTTCTCTGGCAGATGTTTTCTTCCACACCTCTCGCATAACCCATTCTGTTTACCGTGTTCTACCATTCCTCTCTTGGACAATCTCTTAATTGGGTAGTTACTGCTGCCACTATCCTCACTTCCTTCTTCCATCGCGTCCTCATACACCCTTGTTTTTCGTATTGCCCTTTCATTATACATATTTTCCATAGCATTTAAATTAGTTTGGGTTTGATCTTCTATAAGGGCTTCCTCCCATGATAATGATATCTGATTTAGCAATCTTGCTCTTAACTTTTTGTCAATAACACCACATACCAATCTGTCTCGTAATGCTTCAGATAAAAATGTGCCGAAATTACAGCTACTAGCCAGAGACTTCAATTCCACAATATATTCACCAAGCGGCTCACCCTCTTTTTGATTGCGGGTGTAAAATTTGTACCTTTCAGCAGTCTCATTTAGATTAGGAGCATAGTGTGTCTTTAAAGTTGCTATAATTTCTTCCAACGGAACCGCCTTAGGTTCTTTAGGAGAACACAATGACGCTAGCGTTTCAAACGCAATTGGACCTATCATAGTCAGTAACACCGCTACCTTTTTTGAATTTAGAATATCGTTTACTACGAAGTATTGCTCCAAACGCTGAAGGTATAAATTAAAATTTTCCCCAGGCAAAAAGGGTTCCATATGTCCAATTAAAGCCATTATAAAATGTTCTTAAATTTCTTTTATTATTTTAACACGTGTTTTGAATATCTTTTTATTCTCGTCGCCACTGATACGTTGTTTTCTTCTTTATTACTGATAAGTTCTTTTCTTCTTTATTACGTTTTTACAACTGAATCCAAATCATGCTAAAAATATTTCTTACAAAGAGAACCGTTAACTTAAATTATTCTTCATAACATATGTATGTACATAGGGGAAAGGTACCTTATATGCATACTTATATACTACAGTATCCATGGAGGGAACTAACACCAACAGTACACAAAGTATTGTGTCATGGTCAAATAATAATTGAATCGAATATTCTTCCACTTGGAGAGTTAACAGAAGAAGCCCAGGAAGCAAGGAATCGCGATTTTAAGCATGTTCAACTATTCAGCTCAAGAAAATGCTCCAGGCAATCACAGAATGAAGATATTTTTAATAGTTTACTTCTATCTTCTGATCCTGTTCTTTCAACTATGCGAAAAAGATGGATTTGTTATGAAACTCTATCAAAACAAGGAAGATTTAAAGGACTTATATTACCTTCTGGATATGTATACCGATATGACAGATTATTTTATAGAAAATAAGTAGTGTTAGGAATTAACTTTATAAGTAGGTTGTAAGAATTAATTGTATTATGTTTAAGATAAACAGTTCAAATAAAAAAAGCTATTATACTAACTGATGACATTGTATTAAATTGTGTTTTATATTTCGGTGGGCGGGAAAGGTGGTTTGTGTGGGGTGATTTAGGTGTTGTTGTGCGTGGCTCATAATAAAATTATAATTTTTTATTGTATATACAATGTTATAGTCTTTAATAAAATAATTAACTAAATAATTTTTAAAAATTGTCCAAATATTTTATTCAACACCAAATGTATGTTCTGTCATACTTAATACTAAAATATGAAAAAGATGAAATTAAAGGACTTAGGTTTAAATGAACATATTTTTGAATGTCATTGAGATATTGGCTTGAAATTTTTTGTTAAGGGTCGAGAATTTCCATATCTAACTAAAAAATTATATTAAGAGATAAATATGGACTAAATTGTTGTAGCTATCCGCGACCCTATTAAAATTTTGATATAAATCATAGTTTTAGAAATTAAACAAATTTGTAATATAAGACAAAATCTTTATTTATGAACAAAACTCAATGAAATTTTCAACGCTTGTTAAATTTGTCATTTCAAATAAGAAAATGCAAAAAAAAATTGAAAAGGTCAAAGGGCATCCCGCAATTCCCAAAAATAGGAATGAAAATCCCAAAAATGGGATTTTTTACTTTTTTGCCCATAGGGTCCACATTTTTTTCAGGGCTGGGAAAATACTTTTGGAGTAAATAGAAAACATATTGAGATTTCCAAAACTGCTTTCAGTTTTCTGATCCCAGCTTTGGGATTTTAGAACATGTCGCCCAAAGTTGAAGTTTTCATAAAAATAGGTCATATTCGGAAGGACGCAGTGGCAACATTTTCAAAAAATAGGACAAGTTTTTTACGCCAAAGCGTTCTGCGTAAAGATACCTTTTAGAAAACTATAAAATTGTTATATGTTCTTAAAGAAAATTTTATTTTATTAATAAAAGAGTTAAGACACATTTTTGGCAAAAAAAACGGCAAAAATCAAAAATTTTTTGAATTTTTAAATTAAAAAACGTATATTTTTGGATCTGTAAATGATATTGATTTGAAATTTATTGTATATTATTGGAAATTTTGCTGTCTAACTAACAAGAAAAAATTGAGTCCATTTGGTGCAAAATTACGCCCGGTATTCAAAAAAAGGCGGACCAAGGTATGGTAAATTTTGTATCACTAAATTTTTAAATGCCTATAACTCGGATATTATAAGAGATAAGTAGCATGTCCAAGCATGTTTTTTCAAGATCTCGTCGAGCGCTTTCAGAAAATATAAAAATCTTTGTATTTGGATGAAAAAATGGCACGAGTTTAAAAATTTTGTCGTAGGTACCCAGGTACGCCACAGCGCCGTCCCTGGGGCATCTGCGGGGTTCATCTTCAAAACTTAAACTCGAATACTCCTTGGCTACGCTCACGCCAAATTTTATACCGATCGGATCAGCCGTTTAGAAATACCAGATTTATTTCCAAAAAATTTCGATTCTGCCCCACTGTGCAGTGATTACGTTACAAATGTTGATTATTTTTTTAATAATAAAACATTTAAATAAATTTTTACTTTATTTCAGAAATATTTTAACAATTTATTGACAAAAAAGGATTTTCTGAAAGAGGGTTATATGGGTAGGTGGTTAACATGGGCCTATCCCTATAAATTTTGGTAAAGGGATTAACGTCTACATTAAAGTTATTTATGTAGAATATAAGTGAATTTGAACCATCATGTCCTTTTATGAAGGGGACTTTATATTGTGGATGTGATCAAATGAGGACCGATCATTGCGAAAATCAGCAGTGTCATTAAAACTTATAAAAAAATTATTTTTGCAGAGTTTTGGTGTGATACAAGAACATTTAACATATGAGCTCAAAAGCCATATTCGGGGGTGCGATTGTATGGGGGCTATGCGAAATAATGGTCCGATTTTAACCATTTTCAATAGGATTCGTCCTTGGAAGAGTATGTGCCTGTGGAAGAGTATGTAGCGTGTGCATAATGTTTTTAATTACACTAAATTTGAAACATAGTTAGATATATAGTTGTATGGTGTGATATACTATATTCTTTTCCAAAACTTGGATAAGAAGGGCCAAGAAGGGGTATGTGGATGAAAAATTTAAAAAAGTGATTTTTTAATAAATATGGTAAAATTTACGAAATTTTAATTTATGCAAACATTTTTGTTAATTTTAAAATTATTTTTCTAATTTTAGTTAAAAACAAGTTAGAGGGCTATATTCGGCTGAGCCGAATCTTAAATACCCTCCACCATCTACTCATATATATTAATACTTTTCTAATTTATCAAATATTTGTAGAAATAAGTTTTCTCATGTCTTGAATAGAAAAAATACAAACAGCTTAAATCTATTACAATTCCATGATTTATTGAACATTACAAAAGCCATTTTCTTTATATTTTTATAGCGCTTAGCGATATTTAGTAATTTGCATGTATGCATGTGTGTAAAAGATTTAAGGATTTTCAAAATAAATATATATAATTTTGTTCTACACAAATTGATAATGCAATTAGTTAAATACGGTTAAAGCGCTTTTAGGGGCAGGACATAGTATGGGAGATATGACCAATTATAGACCGATCGTAAAAAACTCTTTAAGCTAAATTTCTGTTCATAAAAGCTATATTTCAGTCAAATTTTGTATCTATATCGTAATTTAGTAATAAATAATGTTTGTTTAAGTGATTTTCTGAAGGGAACCTTGTATGGGACCGACCGCACCCATGTTATGAACCGATCGTGAAAAAATCTTGAAATAGAATTTTTGTATACAAAATTAATATTTGGGCCAAATTATTAAATTTATCAATAGCTTTATTTGGTAATGAGAGATTTTCGTTTAAGAGATTTTCGTAAAAGGACCTAGTATGAGTGCTATGACCAAATATGGACCTATCGTAAAACAATTTTATAGTTTAATTTATGTATATAAGAGCAATATTTTTGCTAAATGTATGGATATCAATATTTTGTACTGAGTTATGTGCGTTTAAGTGATTTTCGGGAGGGAACCTTGTATGGGAGCTATGACCAAAGTTGGACCGATTATAAAAAAATGTTCAAATAACATTTCTGTGTACAAAAATAGTATTTATGCAAAATTTTTTATAGGTATCACTATTTGATAATGAGTTATGTGCCTTTAAGTGTTTTTCTGAAAGGGACCTTGTATGGGAGCTATGATCAATTATGGACCGATAGGAAAACAAATTCACAGTAATATTTCTCTGTATATGAGCAATGCTTGTGCCAAACTTTATATGAATATCTTAATTTAGTAATGAGTTATGTGCGTTTAAGTGATTTTCGGGAGGGGAACTTGTATGGGAGCTATGACCAATTATGGACCGATCGGAAAAAAATTTCACAGTAATATTTTCGTGCATATGTGGATATCTTAATTTTGTAATGAGTTATGTACGTTTAAGTGATTTTCGGGAGGGGAACTTGTATGGGAGCTATGACCAATTATGGACCGCTGGGAGAAAAATTTCACTGTAATATTACTGTGCATATGAGTACTACTAGTACCAAAAACTTTATATAAATATCTTAATTTAGTAATGAGTTATGTGCGTTTAAGTGATTTTCGGGAGGGGACCTTGTATGGGAGCTATGACTAATTACGGACTGATCGGAAAAAAAATTTCACAGTAATATTTTCGTGCATATGTGGATATCTTAATTTTGTAATGAGTTATGTACGTTTAAGTGATTTTCGGGAGGGGAACTTGTATGGGAGCTATGACCAATTATGGACCGCTGGGAGAAAAATTTCACTGTAATATTACTGTGCATATGAGTACTACTAGTACCAAAAACTTTATATAAATATCTTAATTTAGTAGTGAGTTATGCGCGTTTAAGTGATTTTCGGGAGGGGACCTTGTATGGGAGCTATGACCAATTATGGACCGATCAGAAAAAACTTTCACAGTAAATTTTTTTTGCGTATGAGCAATACTTATACCAAATTTTATATGGATATCTTAACTTAGTAATGAGTTATGCGCGTTTAAGAGATTTTCGGGAGGGGACCTTGTATGGGAGCTATGACCAATTATGGACCGATGGAACAAAAATTTCACAGTAATATTTCTGTATGTGAGAGCAATACTTGTACCAAATTTTATATGGATATCTTAATTTAGTAATGAATTATTTGCGTTTAAGTTATTTTCGGGA